GTGTGTGTGTGTGTGTGTGTGTGTGTGTGTGTGTGTGTGTGTGTGTGTTGTTTTGTGTTTGGTATGAGCAATCCTGAGGGCTTCCTGCAACCAAGTTGAGCTCATTTGTCAGCCTGGTTTGTCTACCAATCAGAAGTGTTACTCAGCTGCACATCAGCAATGGGATAGTAACTAACATTCGTAGCCTGGAGCTGGCCTCAGTTCTTGCAGGGAATGATCAGGGGAGGATTAATCCAAGCCCTGCCTGCAGGAGTTTCTATATATATAAGATGGCTTCCAGTGGTCTAGAGAAAATGGAAGAAAACAGAGAGGCCAAGGTGCCAGCAGGTCCTCAGAGAGTGTGTGACAGGCCCCAGCTGGTCCGTACTCAACCTCCTCTTCATTCCTTTTCCCCTTTACAACTTTTTTCCACCCCTAACTACAGTTCTGTCAGTGAGAGCAGAGTATAATCAAAACTATACACTCATTGCATCATTTATTAATTTACATGTATGTTCATTTGGCCAAGATCTGTTACTCACCTGCTAAGTGCTGGATCCTCACTATTCTAGCCAGGCAGGGAATGAGGCAATGGGTCTTCTTTAGTTTAGTTAGTGGTCGAAGCAGACAGCAGACAAATATATACAGCACAAACTGAGGAGAGCAAAGGAAAACCTGGCAGTTGATCAGGGCTAGTGCTGGGTGCTATGGTTTGTGATTGGGTGGACAGGAGCCATCTCACCATCCAAGTGATCTTGGCACAGAGACCTGTAGAAGGGATGGTCTGAGCTACATGGATGCAGGAGGGACAGGTGTTTCAGGAAGGAGGAATGGTAGAGACAAATGTCCCGGGGCTGTCCAAGGAACAGCCATCAAAGGAGCTATGTGCAGAGAGAGCACATGATACCCCCTCCCATGATGCTTCAGAGAGGATCCAGTGACTGAAGTGCATGCTCTGTTAGCACAAGGGTGAGTGTGACCCCAGCACCCACATAAGAAGCTGGGTGTGGTGGTCTGCTCTGTGCCTGTGACTCTGTGGCTCGGGTGCAGAAAAGCAGCTCCCTGGGCTCCCTGGGCTCCCTGGGCTCCCTGGACAGCTAGCCCAGCCTAAACAAACAGGCCGGGGTCCCCACAAGGGACACTATTTTAAAAAGAAAAGGTGACTAGTACTGAGGAATGACACCTGAAGTTGCCCTCTGACCTTCACAGGCATGTGTGCCCACCACATGCCTGTCTACCGCTCCCCTCCCCACATACATACTCCCAATCAAAAATGAGATTGGGTTTGGTGGGGGATGTACCCCTGGAGCCTGTCAAGGTATCGTCCAGATCCTTCTAATTCACGTAAAGTTCTTAGAAGATGCTTTGTGCCAGAGGAGAGCCTTTAATTCTGCCGGCATCCCTCTCTGATTAGATGTTGAGTTAGCAATGGCCACAGAATGGCAGCTACTACTAAGCCATTCTGAGCTTGTGGTTATCAAAGAGGGAACCTCTGGGTGGCCACACCTGCTGCTATTCTTCTTTTCACACCTCTGTTCTCAGCTTCTAAAATCACTGAGCAATTTAGTGAGGGGGAACTTGCAGGCAGGAGGCAGAAGAGGCGTGGCCAGGGTCATCCCTTCAAGTTGGAAGAGCTGGTGTGCTAACATAACATCCCTCTTTTTTTTTCTTTTGTTCTTTTCCCTAGAAATAGGTTGAAGTCGAGAACAGATAAAGGCCTCCAGCCTTAATGAGCCCTAGCAGGCCACAACCGATGCTTCTTGCTTCCTGCAGCAGACTTCATCCTTGCCCTCCCTGCCTGCCAAAGGCCTTTCAGGAAAGAGGCATGGTGCTTACACAGTTTAACTTTCCACCTCTTTAGGGACGGGGGGAGAGTTGGCCTGAGGCAAAAAAAAAAAAAAAAAAAAAAAGGAAAGAAAGAAAAAAGAAAGACCCACCCAAAGAGTCCCCTCCCCCTTACTGGTAGCCCTACTCCAAGAATGCCCAAGTCCAAAAGACCCCAGTTCCCTAATGGGTAAAATGATCCCACATGTGCCCCGGGGGCCAGATGCCTGTGGCTCCAGTTTCACAAGGAAATTGTTTGGGAGGTACGTTAAGTCAGAAAGCTACTTACTGACTTTTGACATGAGGCCTTTTGGAGAGTAAGTGGACACCAGGTTGGCTCTTGGCAAAAGTAAACACGCGTCCGTCTCCTAGAAGACACAGGACACCCATGTGGCCGGAGTAGGCCTGCTTCTGCAGCCTGCATGGCCCATGCAAGTAGTGAGCTGTGAAGCGTCTGTCTGAGTGAGACCTAGGGCCCAGCTGTCTCTGATGTTGCAGTTCACAGGATTTAGAAACTTTCAGCCATGCTTATTGTTCACCGGAAGAGCGGACCTCAACATTAAGAAGAAAAAGGAAAGAAGAAACCTAGATGTTGATGAGACAAAAAAAGAAGAGGGAAAAAAAAATGCATTCTTGATGGTTTTGAACTCTGGGACACTCAGCAAAGAGCTGTGGGTTCTGCAACAGCCTCTGTTTTGGAGCTCCTGAGCCACCTTGCAGCAAGCTGCCCTGAGGACAGCGCCAGCTCAAGGCTGTTAGGCTGCTGGATATCTACTTTCATGAATAAATGTGGATCTTTGGGGAGTGGCTTGCGGATAAGCTGAAAATACAAACTCTTTGTACATTATGTAAATTCCTGTTTATCTATATAATTGGCAACAACTGGGAATTGTAACTCCTGGTGGTTCAAAATCTCTTTTAGCTGAGCTCTTTCCGCTGTGTTCATGGTGAGTGTGGGGGACGAGGGGGGGGCAGACTTTGAGTCCCCATGTAAATTCTGCTCTGCAGGCCCAGCTGGGACAGTCTGCCCACCTCCCCTCTGGGCCTCACAGCACTGTGAACCTGTCTTTGGGCATGTGCCAAGGGCGCCATGTGGAGACACTTTAGCTGTTGTGTGAAGTGGGGCTTTAACCAGATGGTAAACTTCAGAGGCTCGTCTCCTAAGTTATTACAGGTGTGAACATGCCTGCCTATTGCTTTGGGGGTGGGAGGAGGGAGAGTGACGGTTTGCTGGTGTCGGGGGATTGTACAGTTTAGAGAAGTAATTATTTATTGGGGAACTGTTTTCTACTTAACTTCTTTAGGGGATCTAATAAAAGGAAAGGCATTGTAGATAGGTAGACAGCCAAATCTTAAATTGTTTATATCCCTTAGCACATACTTCAAGCGCAAACACACTATTCAAGACAATGGCCAGACTGTATCTTAAAAACACCTCTACTCACTGTGCGAACACTTAGAAGATAAGTCAAATGCATAATAAAAAATCTGAATGTTTGCTCTGGTTTGTGGGTTTTTCCTTGCACACATAGTTACACATCCACTCTTCATAGGCCTCTGGAGACAGCAGGAGGGGACAGGAGTTCTAGAGGTAGGAATCATCAAGAAAGGAAAGTTTAGAGCGAGGCGGGGCAACAATTGGAATACTGGGGAAGGCGAGGAGCCTGGAGACCAGTTAAGAGAAGATAAGCATCAGGGCAGCTGGGAAGAAGGTTTGGATGTAGTTGGCAACTTTCTTGGCATCCCTGGCTCCTCACACAACCTTTGCAGGGAGGCGATCACGGGCCTATTGCTCAGGGCATTTAAGAAGTATCTCCAGAAGTGACCACAGTAGCAAAGCCGCACAGGACATAAAAGCAAAAGGGAGGCTGTTGGATTAAAAGGAGAGGGAGAACATAGGAGGGCAGGGGTAGGCAAGGGATGAACACTGTCAGAGTATTTTAATGCAAATGCCATTATAAAAGCGTCACACGGTATGATCCCTGACAATAAACTTTTAGAAAGGATTCTACAGCATCTCTAGCAGTGGTTCTCAACCTGTGGGTCACAATCCCTTCATGGGGGTCACCTATCACATATCCTCCATATCAGATATTTATATCACTAGTTATAACAATAGCAAAATTACGGTTATAAAGCAGCACCAAGATAATTTTATGGTTGGGGGTCACTACAACATGAGGAAGTCTAACAAGGGGCTCCTGTGTTAAGAACGTTCCGAACACACTGGTCTAGAGGATCTGGGAGTCCTGTCTCTGTTCCCCGCCTTTTAATCCAAACCCATACTCCGAGAGCCCACCAGGGGAATAGAGCTGGGCCAAGACAAAGACACAGACACTCCCCCACCCTCGAATCCTGTGTTTGGAGTAGGCTGGATCACTATCTAATCTGAGAGAACCCGAGAGCCTCTTGTTTTAATTAAACTCATTTTGGAGAGTTTTGGCTCTGTTAAACAGAGAGAGTTGAACACTGATTTACTCAGCAAGGACCTTGTTGTCCCTGGGAGACACTCATGGGGCCTGCCATCCTTCAGCCCTTGGAGAGGATTCAGGGCATAGGAACAAACAGTCCAGGAGGTCTAGGAGCTTCCTATGAGCACCCTGGTCCAGGCCAGGCTTTCTGCATAGGGAGGAGCAGTGGAGGAGGGTGCGCAGGGCTGTCTACAGAGACCATAACACCCTAGTTCACAAGGGTAAAGGATTTCAAGATGGTCGAAACAGAGACCTAAACCAATGGGCAGTCTGCTGCAGGGCTTCCCTGGTGGCCTTGAGTCTGGAGAATGGGTTTGGCTACAAGCTCCCAAGTAGGACTAATCTTAAGCAACTATACCCTCAGTTCCTTTATTTCTAAGATGGATGTAGTACTTGCTCTGCCTAACTCACAGGATGTGAGTTTTTTCAGGATGTCAGTCAAGGCTTTATGTCTCTACCCACCAACCACCTCTAAACCCAAGGCACCAGATCCTTCCCCCCTTCTCAATGTGTGTGCCTGTGTATGTAGTGTATGTGTGTACGTGTATGAACATCTGAGTGTTTACATAGATACCTGAGACTGAAAACTGATGACAGGTGTCTTCCTCTGTCACCTCCACCTTAGTTTTTGAGGCAAGGTGTCTCCCCGAGGCTAGCACTCACTAATTGGGCTAAGCTAGCTGGCCAGCAAGCCCTAGGGCTCCTGCTGCCTCCCCCCCAGTCCTGGATTTCATGAGTGCATGTCCATAAGAGACCTGGAGATCTGAAATCAGGTCTCCATTCTTGCTCAAGGAATGCTTTACTCACGGTGCTCCCACCCTCCCCCCAGCTCCTCCTGGCTTTTTTGTTTTGTTTTTAAATGAAAAGTTCCACACAGACACATACATTTGAGTTTAGAATGCATCTTAAGGTAATGGAATTGCTTCTGTTACTGTCAGAACCATCAGCCCTCAGCTCCCACCCCTGGAAGGTGTCAGTTCTCCAAATCCCTGAGTTAATCTGATATGAAAGCTTTGATACGCAAAGCTTGTGTGATTCAAGCTCCTGGTCCTTGGAACTTTCTAAGCCCACCAGGGCCTCTCCCTCACTGAACACCTGGTTCTTTTTCTGGTAGGAAGGCTGGGAAATTATATGACTTAGTGACTTCCAACACAAGGGCCCTTCTGATAGGTGTGCCCCATTCATCCTCCCAGCATTCCAGAACAAGATAGCAAGGTGTGACAAGAGCTGGGCTAACACACATAATCCTGTGAGGCCAGGAGGGTGGTCAGTGAATGTGAACTGTTGCTTCCCCCTCCACCTTTATCTTCCGTGCTCCTCCCTCCTTTCGACCATCTTCACTTGAGCAGCCCCTTCACAAGGCACCATATGTGAGTGCATAATTGGTAAAAACAAACAAATAAACATCAGGATGAGGTTTGCCCCCAGCGCTGGCTTTGTGTTCATTAGGACACACAGGGGACTGACAATCTCTGTGGGACCATCACGTCTTTTTCACAGCTTTCTCTCTTGTTGGCAATAAGGAGCCCCTGCCTCATCCTCCACAATGAATGCCATAGTGAATGCCCCCTTTGGCTGTTTATTTGACTTTTTGGTGTGTGTGAGTGTACACATGCCTGTGTGTTCACATATGCTTGTGTAGCATAGGAGGCCAGAGGTTAACCTTGGGTGTTGTTCCTCAGGACCCATTGCCTCACCCACTCACACCCCACACCCACCCCTGCCTTTTTTTAGACAGGGTCTCTCACTGGCCCCTGATTAGGCTTGGCTGGCCAGCCAGGGAACTCTAGGGAAACTACCCATCCCTGTATCTTAGTTAGGGTGTCTATTGTGAAGAAACACAATGACCACAACAGCTCTTATAAAGAAAAACATTTAACTGGGCAGGCTTATAGTTCAGTGGTTTAGTCTCTTATCATCATGGTAAGAAGCGTGGCAGCATGCAAAGAGACATGATGCTAGAGAAGTAGCTGAGAGTTCTATGTCTGGATTCAAAGACAGCAGGAAGAGAGAGAGTGAGACACTGGGCCTGGTGCGAGCATCTGAGACCTCAAAGCCCACTCCAACTGACATGTTTCCTCCAACAAGACCACACCTACTCCAACAAGGCCTCACTTCCTAATAGTGTCACTCCTTATGAGCATATGGGGGCCATTTTCATCCAAGCCACCACATCTGCCTTCCCAACTCCGGGATTTCAAGTACACGCTGCCACAGGTAGGTTCTGAAGATGGAAGCACTTTTAATTCTTGAGCTGTCTCACCAGCCAATATCTTGGTTTTAGATATATGTGGGTCTGGAAAGGGGAAGAAAGAAAGAAAGAAAGAAAGAAAGAAAGAAAGAAAGAAAGAAAGAAAGAAAGAAAGAAAGAAAGAAAGAAAGAAAGAAAGAAAAGTATGTACCAATCTGTGCAGCACTTCCTAAGCTACTTATGACTGAGAGTATAGAGAGCTGAAATAGTCAAAAGAAGGGGTCTTGGAGTAATATGGGGCAGAGGAAGGGTTGGTGAGCAGCAGCCAACCAAGCCTCTCAGGAGGGACATGCTGAGGAAGGGGTGTAAGCTATGCCAAAGCTTGGAGAAAAATGGGGTTCTGGGTCTTTCAAGGGCC